AAAAAGTAACTTTATTAGACTTTTTAAATATTTTATAAGAGCTCACCTCAGCAAACTTTTCCCAATTAGCTTTAATCGTTTCGTCTTCTTTTTGACTATAGGCTCCCTTTTTAATATTAATTCCAGACAATGTAATTCTTCTTTGTATTTCCTTTCTTGGACACGACGTGATAGACTTTTCAAACATATGAGCTTCGGGAATTTCCCAATCGACTACTATAAATAAATGTCTCAGAATCTAAAAATATTTAAGTTTACAAAGTTTACTTTTTGAAACGCTTTCGTTTTCTTACATTATTAAATGATTGAATCTCCATCTGCTTCTGCTCCATGGCCTTATCCAGAAGGTCGTCGAAGTCAATAGTAGATTCGTTGTCTGAACTGTGATTATCAAGATCAAAATCGCTTTGATTGGAGTGTTCACTGTCATTGTCCTTCCTAGGTTTAATATTTTCTTCAGCAGTCGGTACAAGAACATTAGCATTCTGCATTGTTTTAATTTCTAAAAATGTAATAGTAGTTGTGCCTAGCAATTTTAAGACATTATGTTGCTTATTTTTAAATTAAACATTGTCAAAGTTTTTCTGAGAGATATTAGTAATATTTCTCACCTTCCATTTCGTTAGAACTGTTTTTAATGTTTTCTAAACATTGTTTATTTTCATTGAAAACTGCTTCTCTGCCATTTTCAGAAAATTCGTTTTCGTTTTCTGTATTTATTGAATTTAAAATTTTATGTAACTTTTCAGTTTTCTTTTTTTTTTTCTTTGTAGGAGGCGTTGTGAGGGTGTTTATTACACTGTGCCTTTTATCTCCTAAAGACAATCATTTAATAAAATAGATTATACATTACTATAATATCAATGAAATAAGTAAAATTAAAAATCTAGGGTTATTAGTCAATGAATAACTACAAAATATTTTTATAAAAAAATACACATGCTTCACATACCATTTAAGTTTCTCTCACCAATATCTTTTTCTATACTTTTACTTTTATTTTTATTACTACCACTGTCTAATAATAAATCAAATGGCTCAATTTCATTGTGAGAACTGCTACTACATCTTTCTTCTTTTATTTCAGTATAAGATATAAAATCTGTTTCTACACGATGACTTTCAGAAAACTCCTAAAATTAACAATTATATAAGTACATAAATATGTAAAAAGAAATCGGTAAGGTACTGAAACATAATTATCATACTTTGTGTTTCTTCTTTTTCTTTGGTTTTTTTTCTGTTTCTTCATCTTTTAATTTTTGTGAAGCTAGATGTAGGTCATTATCCTCACAGATCTTAGATATCTTCTAAAATTTTAAAAAGAAAACTTTAACAACAGATCATTCAATTAACTACACATACAGCACATACCTTTTTCTTTCTTTTCTTTTTCTTAATACTTTCCAATAAATCATTATTGAAAGATCCTTCAATACTAATGCTTGATGAAAAGGTAGATTCAGCTGAATTAGAATCCTAAACAAATTGTGCTCTATGAAAGCCTCACACACATAACTACATTACCTTTCTATTCCTTTCGTTTTTAGGGGAATAATCCTCTAACGATTGCTTTTGGATTTCATTTTTCAGGTGACTTATACCATCAGAATACTGCAATTTATCATATGAAGAGTATAAACATTTTAAACAACAGCAAATTTGCTAGATATTAAATAAAACAAATTAATAATACCTTGCTACTCTTTTTAACTTTACGTTTTTTATGGGAACTGTTGGGACCTTTACTTGGTCGTTTCTCTTCATCTGCTACTTCATTGTTAGATGACTGCGATGAATCAAAAGATTGTAACAGCTTGGAATAATAATTAAAATCGTTATTCAAAATATCAACAGATAATATGTCGTCCATTATTAATTAAAAACGCTAATTTTTATTCGAAACGAACATACATGGTTAAAATTGGTTAAACTTAAACTCGACAAAATTTAAGGTTATAATCATAGATAGTTTTAATCATAGACAAGAGATTATAGTGTATGGATGATCATAACAACATCTGTGAACTGTTCTATTAATGTGTATCTATGTATTGTAGAATCATAGATAAATATTAATACTAAATCATAGAATGCTACAACTAAAACAATTGAGTAGTAAGTGAAACCAAAGAATAAATACGATAGATTAAATATTTTTCTTAAATGTAAAATTAAACATTTATAAACATAAATACAAAAACTGCTAAATTAAAAATGGTATTATTAATGCTGTAATTAAATAATTAAGATAAACGAAGTTCAGTATTTAATCAAATCTTCTGGAAAAAATCATGGCCTACATAAAAATGCGGTAGGAACATAATTCGGGAATTCCCAGAATATGTACTCATAACTTTCCTAACTCATTCAAACTACTAAATTTTTGCTATAGCTATCACATTTTGAATTTTTAATATAAACTGTAAAAAGAGTTAGGACAAAGCACTAATAATTAATTAATTTAGATACGGTATACTTATATTTAAGTCTAAAAGAAACAAGAGATGACGTGAATACTGAAACATAAAATAAAGAAAGTGTAAACAAGTCAGCATTTATAAGAGTTAGGTAGGAGAATGGAGAACGACTAAACAGACCTTGTATCAGTCGTTTTGGTATTGTAGCATTTAACAAGTGCCTTGAATTATTTAAAATAGTAGCTATTTTAAATGCTGACTTGCGACAGTGTGCAAGATTTGTGTGTGTAACCATATGTTTTTAATTTTGTCGTATTATAAAGCTGATGCGTGAAGTAAGCTCGGCGCTCGTTTAAAAGTTTTATGGAAGAACAGGAAAAAGTAACTGGGTCAGAGAAAACTAAAATTAGCATAAATTACATCATTGTCGCAAAAGCGCTGTTTCTATAAGTTTCTCGAACTTCTTTACGGAATTTCGAGATGAGTAAAAATGGAGCTCCGCCATCGTATAATTACGGACCACCCCCAGCGGCACCCCCTAGTTATGCACAGGCTGTTGGCGGAGTTCCACCGACCAGCCCTTACATACCTCATCATTCATGTAAGTCAACCTGTTTTTTCTTCTTCTTATTGCATATTTCAATATGTTCATCATCAAATAATAAAATAATTTATTTTTGGAAATGTACCTAATTCATTATTATTTTTTTATTTTTAAATTGTTTAATAGGAAACTATATATTTAATTTTTTTTATCTGGTATGATTGCACTTTCTAATGATACAGAAACGAACGAAAATGCTCACGACTTAGATTTTCAAATAGCCCTATTGCCCTTTTTGAGTAACGAAAAAGTACTTTAAATAAGTAATTACAGTTGAAATTAGGAATTCATTGAAAAATAGCTCCTCTGCAGTTTTATACAAGAATTAAAAAAAAAATATTTTACATATTTACTACGCAAATCCCTCGCGATTCCGGAAATTATTTATATTGATTTCATTGGCTAGCGCTCTTGTAAATTGTACGTAAAATAATTGCTAATTGCATATTGTTAAAAAAACCCTCACATTTAAATATTACAACGAAGGATACGGAAAGAAATTAAGCGCATTGCAAATTAATAGGTACGTCGGGAATGTTTTTAGATATGTCCTTGAATTATACCTCTTCAAATAATTCTTCTTATTAGTCATGAAAAGGAAAGAAGAATAATTACCAAGCGTTACGTTAATATCATTACATCAAATTTTTATTCATTCAATGACGTGTGTAATCGTTAAACCGATTAGATTTTATTAATTATTTAAAAAATTAGGATGAGGAATATTATTACGATCGATTTTTTCTGACCTTTGGATAAACCTTACTGTTTTCGTAAGCAAAGTCAAGGTCCTGCTTCGAACATTTAAAAAAGTTATTTAATATTAAATAAATACACATTTACACGATTTTCAAAGTCATTTCTTTAAACAAATTATTTGTCATCAAAGCGATTTGGATGATCCTTTATTTAAGAAATTAATTTAAAACTTATTTTACGTATTGTACTGTTTGAATTAAATATTTATTTTTAATTAGATAATAATAGTAATTATAAGCCATATTCTATTCCTAGATTAATAACGTATATATCCGTATTTAAAATTTTATTTAATTTCCACGAAAAAGTGTTGTTTAACT